AAAAACAGCAAGCGTAAATTTATGCAACTATGAGTGTATGTGTATATATTTTATTCTAACAAGTCTACTCTAAAAATCAAATAGTAGCTGTCACACTCTTGAACAAGGAAATGCATGGCTGCCAAGATGGCGGCCATGGGCTGAAGCATACAGAGTTTCGGTAATTAACGAAACAAAAGAAAACGTTCTGCCTGGCTAGGGGCAGGGCGACAAAACTATCATGGTAATTTAGTTTCTAATCTTGGCCCTAGGGGAAACAGCTTTCCAAAGCTGACTAACCAGTCTACCAGGAAATAGAAGTTAAAAAATATCTATAAAGAAGTAAAACTTAGAAAGACAGAGAGAAATAATTCTGCTATGCACTTTCCATCAGGTGTATTGACATTTACTTATAAGTTTTACTGCCATGTATACACACTGGTCACTAATCACACGCCAATATTATAGGTATAACTGATATCCTATGTCAGAGGCGATCTTCCAGATGGGCCTTTACAGGTCTCAGCCATGTAGCTATAGATGTTGGCTCCCAACAGACAAGGAAACTGCCAAAGGGACTAAGTGCTAAAGTTACATAAATTTGAAAGAGGTATGCTGTGAATTGTTTAAGTAGGCTAGGGGCTGTTGACTAAACCTAATCTCCTGTAGTCAGCCTTCACTGGGGGCAAAATGCTCATCTTGTCCCAGGTCATCTTATTGTTATATTCCCTTAAGGATGTTTATGCACTCATTCATTTACTGTATGTTACTCAATGCTTTGGGGTACAATAGTAATTTATGTCTTAAAAATAGAAGGCCTACAATTGTGATTTTAAAATGCTAGTAATTATACTGTGATTTAAGATTCAGCAGGAGGTTTGAGAAGAATATTTCATTCTCAGCTCTGTTACTAACCAGAGTGAGATTTTGGGCAAATAGCTTAATGGTTCTGGATCTCGGTTTCATAAAAAGAAGGATACTTCCTCTCTCAATTTTTTCTGAGGCTGTGTTTATATGCATAATTGAGATCCCAAATCTATGGAAAATAAACTCTGATTCTTGGGAAAAATTGCTTCCCTTTCTGTTCCTGAGTCTGAGTGTGACTGGTTTTATCACCCATTGTCATTCCTACCTTGGCCACTTTGACTGCAGACCCATAACCAGTTGTAAATCCACAGCCAATGAGGCAGACCTTCTCCAATGGTGAAGCTGCATCAATTTTGGCCACTGCGATTTCATCTACCACTGTGTACTGGGAGAAGGTACTGATGCCCAGGAAGTGGTGAAGGCTCTTCCCTCTGCAGGTGAACCTGCTGGTACCATCCTGCATGGTTCCCCGAGGCGTCAGACTGGGGGAGTGCAAAACACAGACATGCAAGGGCATGAGACAGGAACATAACTCATATGTAAACTCAGTGACTGCACAAAGAGAGGATCTGAAACCTACATGTTTCTCAAGCAGTAGTTGCTTTCCGGGTTCTTACAAATTCTGCATTTTCCACACTGAGGCAAAAAGAGCGGAATGACTTTATCACCTGGAGGAGGATAAAGCAAATTCTTCTTAAATTATCATCCAGGAATTAATAGAGCAAGAACATAAAATTTACATGTATAGATTAGAGGCATGAATCTTTGAAAAGTCTCCAAGAAATAGGATCCAATCACAGCTGTGTCATTGGTCATTACCTACCGGCATTGTCATTGGCTTGGGTTTATATGAGGCTGAAGATTCCCAAAGAGGAAATACAAATGTGGAAAACAATGTGAAATATTAAAATTATTTCCACTGTATTAACAGTTAATTTTTATTGAATGCCTTCATTTCTCCCGGGAGCTTCACACACATCTCATTTAATCCCTAGCTAATTAAATCTTAAAAATTCTCACTTTAAGTGTAAACCTAAATTTCAGTTGAAAATGGGCTATGATAGTTCCACTCGATGCTGGGGACATTTGGTGTTTTGTAGGACTTTGAATTATTATAAAATTTAGAATTTTGATAACCAATCCTTGGCTTCTCAAAGTGACTGTGCTTATCTTTATTGCAAAGTGAATGATATTTAAAAAATCTTAGCTCTTTTATGAGGAAAACTAACAAAAATGGGACCAAGAAGAATTCAAGAAATTCCTCTACAAGCTTCAGCCCTCAATAATGAGTTAGGCTCCTTTTTGCAGGTTAAGAACTGACTTTCCAATGTCTTCATTTAATACTTTGTGAATTGTCTACTTTTCCTGCTATGGTGGATGGTTCAGGGATAAAAAGTTAAGGTGTCATTTTATTATTAATTTAATTCTAACACTAGAAAATAGCAAGAGCTGAAACTTAAATTAACAGTTTATTATTTTCTGCTCACAGTTTATATCAGTATTTGGTAAGGGAGGAGGTCAAATCACAGTCTAAAGTGATTTTTTAGAATTAAACATAATTTTAAGTTTTAATCATCTATGCTACCTATCCCACAAGACCAAGAGTAATGATTGGCCCATAACATTTTTTTAATTTTTAACTTTGAAGATGTGGGGTATAATTCAGGGTTAGGTGTACAAATGTTGATTATGCAGGTACCCTTACTGATGAGGTGTGCCTCCCCCCTTCCCTGGCAGTTTCCCACTATTGCCAATCCTGCTTTCCACCCTGCCAGTTTTCAACTACTGCCAATTCCTTTCTTAGAGTATTATGAGAATTGTTCAAGGTCCACTTATGAGTGAGAACATGTGGTCTCAGTTCTTTCTTTCTGTGATAGAGCACTCAGTATTGTAGTCTCTAAGTCCATCCAAGTTGTTGCAATACTAATAATTTTGCCCTTCTTTATAACTGCATAATATTCCATAGTGTATATGCACCACATTAAAAAAAAAATCCAGTCCTCTTTCGATGGACAGCATGGTTGGTTCCATGTTTTTGCTATTGTAAATAATGCTCCAATAAACATGCGTGTGCAGGTATCTTTTTCATAGAGTGATTTGAGTTCCTCTGGGTATATTCCCAGTAGAGGGATTGTGGGGTCATATGGAAAGTCAATTTTTAATCTTTCAGGAATTGCCAAACTGTTTTCCAGAGAGGTTGTAGTAGTTTACACTCCTATTAATAGTGTGGAAGTGTACCCTTTCCCCCAAATCCTCTCCAGAATTTGTTGTTTTTTGAGTTATTGATGATGACCATCCTGAATGGAGTTAGGTGGTATCTCAGTGTAGTTTTAATTTGCATTTCTTTGATGACTAGTGAGGCTGAACATTTTTTCATGTATCTGTTGTTTGCTTGAATGTCTTCTTTTGACGTGTCTATTCATATCTTTTGCCTACTTTGTAATGGGGCTGTTTGTTTTTTTTCTTTTTGGCACCTTTGAGTTCCTTGTATATCTTAGATGTTAGGCCTTTGTCAGATATACAATTGGCAAATGTTTTTTTTTCCCCAGTCTGTGGGCTGTCTCTCCGCTCTCTTGACGATTTCTTTGACTTTGCAGAAGCTTGTCAATTTAATGAGGTCCCACTTGTCTATCTTATCTCTTATGGCATGAGGTTCATAACATTTTATAAATCAAGTTTATGTGGAGATGTAGTATGGAAATTTCCTATTTATTCACATTTTACCTCTAAAAATATTTATATTGATATACAACATACAATAAAAGTAAGGTAAATAAATACTTAAGATTAAATAATTAGTAATCTGTTACCACTCACATTTAACCAGGGCTGGAGGTAATAAAATAACCATTGTATATGGTTGTTGTCTTCTGCTATGTTTCTTTCACTTCCTTTCATCTAGTTTGTTTCATTCATTCCATGTTTAAGAAGCAAGGCCACATTGGAAGAGGAAATTGGTGAACAATTTCCATGTGCCCCCTAAGAAACACTATGTGGATTCAGTCATAGCCATCTGGACCCATTTGGTGAACCCAGTACACTTTCCACACACTGATCTGGAGACTCAGGTCTGAGTCTTACATTTTCTCTCTTCTTCCATTACTGGATCTATTAAGGCCCTGTCAGAAGACAGTGCTCTGCAACACTAAAATAAAAGCAATTATGTTGTGAATACACTAGCTGGTGCTCACTCTCTCTCTCTCTCTGCCTTTCTAGTTTTCACATTTCCTGAGTGTGAATTTTGTACCTGGTTTGACTGTAGTCACTCCTTCTCCAACACTCTCCACGATGCCAGCTGCCTCATGACCTAAAACCACCGGAAAAGGGATCACCAGGTTGCCACTAACCACATGGTCATCTGAGCGGCAGATTCCTGCAGCCACCATCTATAGGGTAGAGAGAAGATTCAGAAAGATTATGACCCTCAGATAAATTTAACATATACAGTTTTTTGAAATTGTGCTTCTACAAGTTTTCAAGGGTTTTACTAGTTATTCCTACTCTTCCCAAATACAAAAGATTCCATTTATCCCCAAGGATATTCCATCTAATACCTTCCTCTGTCTTCCTTTTCTGAAGTAAACAGAATAATCTATGAAATAACTGTTCCTGAAATACTTGTCTTAGACAATATACAAAGAAGTTTTAGTCAGAACAGCAATAGCAATCAGGCAAGAAAAGAAATAAAGGTTTCTAAGTTAGAAAAAAAGAAATCAAACTATCTCTGTATGCTGGAAATACGATCTTATTACAGAGCCCTAAAGACTCCACCAAAGACTCCTGGACTTTAAAAAGGAATCAGTAAAGTTTCAGGATAAAAAAATCAACACTCAAAAATCAGTAGCACTGCTACACATCAATAGTGACCAAGTTGAAAATCAAATCAAGAACTCAATTTTATTTATAATAGCAGCCACAAAGCTAAAATACCTAGGAATAGATTTAACCAAGGAGGCGAAAGACCTCTATAGGGATAACTACAAAACTCTGATGAAAGAAACTGCAGAGGATACAAACAAATGGAGAAACATCCTTTGCTTAGGAATTGGAAGAATCAATATTATTTGTATGCCCGTATTTCCCAATTCAATTTTCAGATTCATGCAATCCTTATCAAACTACCACATCATTTTTCAGATTAGAAGAAAACCCTAAAATTCATATGAAACCAATAAAGAAACAGATGAGCCAAAGCAATCCTAAGCAAACAAAGCTGGAGGTGTCATCTTACCTGACTTCAAATTATATTGCAAGACTGTAGGAATCAAAACAGCATGGTGTTGGGATAACAGCAGACACAAGGACCAATAAAATAGAATAGAGAATCCGGAAATAAACCCAAAGACTTACAACCAACTGATATTTGACAAAGCAGACAAAACATACACCAGAGAAAGGACATCCTATTCAACAAATGGTTCTGGGAAAATTGGGTAGCTACATGCAGAAAAATGAGATTGAGTCCTGTCTCACTCCATACACAAAAATTATCTCCAGAGGGATTAAAGACTTAAATGGCAGATGTGAGACCATAAAAATCCTAGAAGAAAACCTAGGAAAAACTCTTATGGACATTGGTCTATACAAAGAATTTATGGCTAAAATCTCAAAGGAAATGTAATTAAAACAACAATAAATAAGCAGGACTTAATTAAACTAAAATGCTTCTGCACAGCCAAAGAAATAATCCACAGAAAGGACTAATATTGAAAATCTACAAAGAACTCAAACAAATTAGCAAGAAAAAAAGCAAATAACTCCATTCAAAATGGGCAAATGCCGTAATCCCCCTATTGGGAATATACCCGGAGGAACCAAAATCATTCTGCAGAAAAGATACTTCTGCATTCATGTTTATTGCCACACTATTCACAATAGTAAAAACATGGAACCAACTATGCTGCCCATCAAAAGTGGACTGGATTAAAAAAAATGTGATTATATATACACAACAGAATATTACACAGCCATAAAGACGGACAAAATTATAAAATTTGCTACAACTTGGATAGATTTAAAGCCTATCATATTCAGTGATCTATCACAAAAACAAAGAACTGAGTATCACATGTTCTCACTTATAAGTGGATTCTGAACATTTATCATAGTACATACAAGAAAGAAATTGGCAGTAGCAGGACAATGACAGGGGAGGGTTGTGGAGTCACTTAACATCGATAAGCGCACCCGATTCCAAATCAGGCAAAGTGAGGATCAATGGAAGGCCCAATCTTCACCTGTATGATGATAACTTATGTACCTAATCCTGAATTTTACCCCACATCTTATAAACAAACAAAAAGACAAATACACAAACGAAAAAACAGGCAAATGACATGAACAGATATCTCCCAAAAGAAGATGTACAAATGGCCAACAAACATGAAAAAAACGTTCAAAATCACTCATATCAGGGAAATGAAAATTAAAAGCACAATGAGATATCACCTTATACCAGTCAGAATGGCCATTATTAAAAAATAAAAATACAATAGAAGCTGGTGTGGCTATGGAGAAGAGGGGACACTTAGTAGGAGTATAAATTAGTACAACCTATATGGAAAGTGGGTATAGAGATTACTCAAAGAACTAAAAGTAGATCTATCATTTGATTCAACAATCCCACTACTAGTTATCTACCCAAAGGAACAGAGGTTGTTGTAAAAAAAGACACCTGCACCCTCTTGTTCACCGCACACAATTCACAATTGCAAAGATGTAGAATCAGCAAAAACTCTCATTAACCGATCAGTGGATAATGAAACTGTGGTATACCAGAGAAAGTGAGGACCAATGAAGGCCTGAATTTCGCCTGTACGTAGACCACTTATGTACCTAATCCTGACTTGTAACCCACATTTTAAAAATAAAATAAAGGGGGAAATGTGATGTATATACACCACGGAATACTGCACAATCATAAAAAGAATGAAATCATTTCCTCTGCAGCAAAATGGATCGAGTTGCAAATCACCAACCGAGTTGGAGATCACCAACCTAAACAAACTGACTCAGAAATAGAAAACCAGACACCGCATGTTCTCACTCATATGTGGGAGCTAAATGGTCACAAGATGGAAATAATAGACTCTGGGGACACTAATAAGGTGGGAAGGGGTTACAGTTCAGAAACGACTTATGGGCACAATGTTCACTTTCTGAGGAATGGGCTACCCTAAGACTCAGTCATCACCAGTACACAATATGTCTGTATAACAAACATGCATGTATACCCCTTGAATCTAAAAAATAATAATAAAATAAAGGATACAAGAATGCATGTTTCTTTTATATCGAAGTAGAAATTGTATAGTAACAACAAGAAATAAACTAATGCTAATTGATTTTGAAATCTTGATATCTCTTTGCACTTTTTTTGTACAAACACATGCATTCTTTGTTATTTTACTGGGAATATGCTGTTCTTAAATCAGGTAAAATTTCTTTTTAATTTAACAATTTATATTTATACCATTCCCTGACAACAGATGTAATTCCATTGTCGTGATGATCATATAAAAAGTGGCTTGTAATGGAATTTTGGTGGTTTCTATTTTTAATGTTACCTAAATTTTTTAAACCTAAAATTAAATAGAAATAGAAAAACATGTTTCACCTTAATGCGAACTTCATGGGCCTTCGGGGGTGCAACCTCCACCTCCTCAATAGAAAAGGGTTGCTTGGCCTCCCACAGCACAGCTGCTTTGCATTTTATTACCTGAAAAATCAAGCAGAGATGAGACCAGTGTTTCCCTACTCTTGAGGCTAGGGAGTGTGTCTTTTCATCTTCCTACATGCAACATCTAGCCCCATGTCTGGTACCTAACAAATACTCCATGAAAGTAAGCAACTCTGGTTTACATATAACTTTGTTGTTTTTAAAAATAAGCAATAATAATACAAGGAGGGAGAAGCAGAATTAATAATGCTAAGACATTGAGATCAAATGAAATATATTCGTTTAGGTCATCTCTATGTTGGTTTTTTCTCCAAAGTGTTTATTCCTGATATTTCCTAATGTGTTTACCCACAATTGGCAGGTACATGTAGTTCTAAGTCACCCCTATTTTGTTGACCGAATTCATGTTTGTTCATATAAAATCCAATGCTTTCTGACTCAATTTCTGACCAAAGGAACTGACAACAGTAACAGTTACATACTTGTTTTCCTCCCTTGGGCGCTTTCTCTTTCTCTGTTTGCCTATTCTCCTTTGATTTTCTTTCTCCACCGCCTCTGTGTGCTACTTGTTTGCATCACACATTTGAAACTTTGTTATCTCATTTATGTGTAGAGACTCCTTAAAGATTAGATTTGAGTCAAAAATTACAGAGGTGAGAGTGAGTGGTGTGTGTGTGTGTATGTGCATGTGTGTGTGTGTGGGTGCACTGAAACCCACACATATATATTTCAAAACTGGAAGACTGTGTGTTTGAATTTCTGGCTAGCATCCTTATCCTTATGACCTTAAAGGTCATCCATATAGTTAACAGAACTCTTTCTAGAGAGAACTGACTTACATGCCAGTAAGATTAAAAATTCAGTTGATATTTATTCTTCTGACAATTCACTTTCGTTATTTATTTTTCAAATTCACATTTCAGAATGTTTGACATGGTCAATGCAAACATAAATATGAGAAGAATTTGGAACAATGTACCAAGGAGGGTCCTGAAAACCTAGTGCCTATGATGGGGCAGGCACACTGTGACCCGTGTGAGATGAGTCCATGCTTTCCCATTAAACCTGAGAAGGATGCCCCAGGCCAGTAGTATTGAATTAGTGGCCTTTTTAAAAAAATAGATGAAAAACATGAAGATCAATTGACCAGGGATTGAATAATTTTCCCAAAGTTCAAAGCTGGCTGTCCAGACAATAAAGATCAATTCAATCTTACATTTTCACTATACCATGGTAGTAAGAAGTTAACGAAAAGTTAAATGACAACAAGAATAACAATGACTTGCATTTATCGGCTAATTTCTGTGTATCAGGTACTATTCTAATTGCTTTACAGTATTATTATTAGATTCCCACAATCACCTTATAAAGTTGGTGTTAATACTATTGGCATTTAGCATTTAGGAAAATACAACGCAGAGAGGGCAAACATAAATAAAATGCTGTTTAAATAGGCTTTGACTTGACGGGGGTGGGGTTGTTTGCCTATTGCATCATTTATTGCTTTCATGATACAATTTGTTTACCCTTTGCTCTATAAACTCACTATTTCTTTTAGTTTTTTGAACTCATTATTGCCTGTAAACTTAGTTCTGGCAAATTTAATTGTTCTTTCTCCTAATTATTTTTCATCAGAGAGGCAAACACGAATCAGTAATGAATGAAAATAAATGAAGTGGAATAAGAACACTGACAACTGGCTAACCTCTGATTTCTCAGAGTCTGTTTTGTCACAGCATGTACAGAAACCTTAGAACTTTTAAGTTGTGTTATCATAGCAGGATCTTTTCCTGTGTGATCCACTCCAAGCAAACATAAAAAGACTGAAAATGTTTGCCATGGTCTTTTGTACTCAAACGATTAGAAACAAGAATTGGCCAGGTGTGTGGGCTCATGCTTGGAATCCCAGGACCATGGGAGGCTGAGGCAGGAGGACTGCTTGAGCCAGGGGTTTGAGACCAGCCTGGGCAACATAGTGAGACTTTGTCTCTAGAAAAAATGAAAAAATTAGCTGGGTGTGTGGCATGCACCTGTAGTCTCAGCTACTCGAGAGACCGAGGTAGAAGAATTGCCCGAGTCCAGTAGGTCAGGTGAGCTGTGGTGACTCATGATCATGCCACTACACTCCAGCCTTGGTGACAGAGTAAGACGCTGAGTTAAAAAGCAAAAATTAAAAAAATCCTCAGAAACCATAAACTGATTATATTGACTGACAACAACACGCATTTCTGTTCACCTGTAAACATATTGAACACACATATATAAATTTAATAGAAGATCTAAAACCAGACATTTGAACTTCTAGTGCTGATAAGTGATTCAAATTGTATTACTATTAATTTTCTGTAAAATTGTGTTGACTTTTATAGATACTGTTCTATAGGATGTCTGCGGAAATTGCTTGAATTGTGTTATTTTAATCAGAATTTGCATGTTGATGTTGTCTTGTTTAACCATGAATATTCTGATGCTGTGAGATCAATATGCATTTTTGTAAGAGATTTTATAGTAAGGTTAAAAGGATATTTTAAAGTCTCCTGAATTGAATTCCTCTCATAAAACTTTTGTCAGACTTAACTTAGCTGTGTTCATAAAAATAATATAATTACCAGAATAACATTTAAATTATCCTTTCTTAATATAAAGATATCTTCTTGATTAGATATTTTCTAACTTGAGATTTATAACACCAAGTCATGTTTAGCTTGTATAAACTATCACTTTACTGCAAATTCATTTAATGTAGGAAATGGGAAATAAAGCCTTTAACAAAGATTCTATGTACATTCTTGTTAAAGTTATTTAGGAATAGTTTCATTTCCACTGTAGTTCAGTATACTTTATAAATTATAGCATATATCCCATATTGTATTTCAGTGCATCATTTCTAATTTAGATATAAACTTAAAATTATTCATCAAACACTCTATCCCTTTATTGTAGTGGTGGGAATATATTTCCAACAGTACTATTCTTTTGCTTACCTTTCCTGCAGTGCTCATGTTGTTTCTGTCTTCTCTGTAGACCTGAGACCGGTGAGTTCTTGTGAAATTCGTCCCTTCTCAAGAGCATCTACCAGATATATTGCACAGATCTTTTATTTGCTTGAGTGACGTCAATTCCACATGTGATCTAGGTCTTTAAGCCACACTCATCTGCTTATTTTCAGATTAAGTCAAATCAGAAAGAAAAGGAAACTGAATCAATACTCAAAACCTTGACTCTGTGACATGCCAATGTCCGATTACATTTGTTTTCATTCAGTCAAATATTTCCCTACACATAAAATTTAATCAAATTCTCTCTTTCTCTTTACCCCCCACCACCTTAAATTCCACATTTCTCTCATTCTCACATATGTCATTCAGAGGTCTGTTTTCCTGTTGTCTACAGTAAGCACCAACTTTGATTCCACATGAGTCTAGTTAGGAAGAAGAAGGAGTAAGGAAGCAGGACAAATGAAGTAAGACAGAAAGAGCTAGGAGCAAGAGGACCATGTTAGATCTACCCCTCTCCTCTTCAGACACCCAATCAGTCACAATGTGCTCAATGAGACTGGTATTTCTGCTCCATCCAATACCAATCAGCATTGACTGAGCACCTCCCTGTGCCAGACTCTCAGCCGAGGCAGGAGGATTGAGACCAGCTGGGTCCAGTAGGGTGCAGTGATGAATAAGAGCCCAACTCTACCTGTACCAAGAGGCAGTATGGGCAGTGGTCATGGCATGGGCTTTGGGATCAGGCCAACTTCCCTTACCTGCTATGTGAACTTCAAAGTATTATTTACAGCACTTTGCCTTAGTTTTCTCATAAGATGAGGGTGTATAGTAGCACTACATTAAGGACTCTTGGTGTATAAATGAAGTATAATCCACATTTATCATACAGCTTGGGAAGCAGGAGAATTCTCAATAAATATTAGCTACAATTATGATTCACAAAATAAAGCTCATAGTTTATGGGGTAAAGGCACAAGCAACCAAAGTTACATATCAGTCTGACTGGGAAGGGCCCTATCACAGGGATAGTTTAGTGCTTGGGAGCTGAGAAGGAGGTGTTGTTCTGAATGAAGGACTCAGAGGAGGTGTTGTAGGGGAGCAGGTGTTGGAGGTGGACTTTAAATAATCCTGGAAAATTCAGAAATATCCTAACTGGGTCATTTCTATTGTCCTCTGATTGATGTAACTAGTATGCATATGGCTTTCAGAGAATAAGAGTTTGAGTTTTCGTTTATCCATTTGGAGGCATTAAAATTATACTGTCAATCATTTAATTAGATGTATTCTGTTGAACATGAACAAGTTAACATAAAGCATATATTTCTCGAGAATGCTGAACAAACAAGTTCATGACTATTGCATGACTGTCAGTGAACTTTAGTGATGGAATCCCTGAGATTCGCACCAGAGCTGGGAAACATTCACTCAGGAGAGGCAAGGTAGGACCTGTGATTTTAGTTGCTTCCAGTTTAAAAAGGTATGAAGGAAAGAAGAAAGTTCCAGATCTGTCGTGTAGAATTCAAAGCTTCATCATCTGGGTTTAAATTTCTCACCCACCTTACCCCTCCCAATTCTCCAAATCAGGACCTATGTTCTTCAGAAGCTTGTATCTCCATTGTTGCCCAAAGAGAATTCCATACCTCACTCAAGCCCTGGATCCCCATGTTCTTTCTCTCCTTTTTTGTCCCTCTATCCTACTTGGATGCTACCCAACTTTGAGACTAAAGACAAGGCCCTCCCCGTGGAGATATGTTAACTCCATCTCATAGTGTAGCTTCTCTTCTCTGAATCACTGTAGCACTAGCATTCCTTCTGTGGTATTGGTATTGCCTGTTCCCTGTTGTTGCTCTCTGTATTTAGTGTAAAGATAACTCTCCAGTTTTACTGGAAATTTCTGGTCAGAGGTCTTCTTAATTTCATTTATATTCTCAACTAAATGGAATACCATATATGCAGTAGGATTTAATAAATGATTGTCAAATTCTTGTGCTCATTTCTGTTAGGTCAGACACTGTGCTAACTAGGAGGAAGTCTATAATGCAGAAGATCCAGTGGCTCCTCTTTAAGGGTTTACAGATTAGCAGTGGGTCAGCAGTGGCCAGGCTGACAAGACAGAGAACCTTCATGTGAGGCAGGAAGTGGGCAATACTAGGAGAGAATTTGAGTGTAGAATTCAAAAGAGGAAAACACTATCCTGTCTTTTCATTGTTCATTCTTGGCACAATGAATGGCGCAATAATGCCTGGCACAGAGTGAGTGCTCAGACTTTTGTCTAAATTAAAGGAGTGAATTCTATTTTGAGAGGCAAGAAGGCCATGAAAGAAAAATATTTGATTAAGATTTATCAAGAAGAGTAGAACTGAGAGGTATGGGTAGAATCAATAGCACAGACAAGGAAACAATATATTTTTTCCTGCTAATACCCTTTTCTATACTATATCCTGTTTACTCTTCTCCCACACCTGTAGACACAGCATTTCAGGGAACTATAGCCACTGTCACATTGTTTTCAAGGCCCAAATGGTACCCACTTATGAGCTTCCATTCCTTCATGAACACATGACTCCATGAGCTACGAAAAACCCTTTGGTACAAACTCCATATTGTCAGGAGAGCTTTCTTAATACCATCAGCAAGTACTCTACTCTTACTCCTTGCCCTACCTTCTAGAAGTATAGATGAGCAAGTGGGTAGAGCAGGGTATCAGTGTTGCAGTATCAGAGGGCCATGGTAGACCTGGAACAACATTTGGAATGTCTGAAGGTAACCCTATCACCCCCTATCGAAGGACATCAATTACTGTTCTCTTTCTCTCTCTCTTAAGCCAGTCCAATTCACTCAAGTACCTTCATCCAAATGAGATAATCCAGAGAGATGATATGCTCGGTTCAGTTTGGGTCAGGGATTCCCCCATTGGTAAGCAGTATAATATCCCCCAAATCCTAATCCCTGGAATTTATAAATATATTGCTCAACATGGCAACATATTGTAGCTGTGATTAAGTTCGAGATCTTGAGATGGGGAGATTGTTTTGATTATCCAGATGGACCCAATCTAAACTTGTGAGTTCATAAAATTGGAGAGCTCTCCCAGGCTGTGGTCAGAGAGGGAGACACAACTATCTACATCCCTTAGATGATCATATTTACATCAGAAGACTTATTAACTTTTTATTGCTGATGTGACAAATTACCACAAACCCCTTGGAAAGTTAGTGGAAGGCAAGGACTGGCACCTCTAATACAATTATGCAGTGAATAATGAGTAGTGCTGAGGTCTGACTCCAAAGCCTTTGAGGGAAAGATCAGCACCTATGCAAGAGATCCATGTCTCCCCTTCCCCAGAGGCCTCATCATTGGGCCTAAGAAAGAATATGCTAATTGCAGGAATTATCCTCAGTCTAAATCCTTCATTTTTGGGGTTGAATGACTTAGCAAAATGGTAAGATTAACATGATTTTGAAGGTTGCTACAAAGCAAAATTGCAACCTTTCTAGTATGTGCATAAATAGTCAGCAAACTTTAAGCCGCGTTGAGGGATGAGGTGCAAATGAAGAGTGGGAGAGGAAACTGAGTAGCAGTAAATAGAACTTTAGAACAGAAAAAATATTCTATGAAATATTAAAATAATATTCTAATAATACCATAATCTATTTTGAATAGAATAGATTTTCAGTTTTTAGAGCAATTTTTGAAAATACCCACTTTCAAAACCATCAGTCCCTATTTGATTTGAATATCTTTTTGGTTTTATTACTGGAGCCAAATATGTCAAGGAAGCTGAAATGTCCTCAACCTCACAGTGACCATGGAGCCTGGGAACCGGCCATGAAGGGAATGTGTGAGATAATAGAATATTTGTTTACACTTCTCCTGTGAAGGCACTTGAGAAATAGTAGAAGCCCAAATCCCAAACCACAATGATGTTCATTCCAATCTTTTCTTGAGAGCCAAACTAAAAACTATCTGTATGTCCCACAAATGTTTTAGTATTTTATTTTATTTTATTTTTATTTGTTTTGAGATGGAGTCTCTCTCTCTCGCCAGACTGGAGTGCAGTGGCCGCTCCCGGCCACCGCAGCCTCGACCTGCTGGATGCCGGCGATCCTTCCGCCTCAGCCTTCCAAGTAGCTGGAACTATAGGTGCGTGCTACCACACCAGGCTAATTTTTTTAAAAATTTATTGTAGAGATGATGTCTCATCAAGTTGCCCAGGCAGGTCTCGAACCCATGGGCTCAGGCAATCCACTCACCTCAGCCTCCCAAAGGCACAGGATTACAGGCTGAGCCACCGAACCTGGCTTAGAATTTTATTTTTAATGATTCTGATGATGTGCTTGGCAGGTGCTTAAGATGATGATGTGGAAATGTCAAATGTTTATGAAAACAGTACAAAGTAACACAAACAGCATGGTTGTAATGATATAAAAATATCTAAAAACAAAAAAATTATTTAATGATGGAGAGGTTTTTTTTGAAATTTTAAAATACTGTTATTTCCCATGAAAAACACAAATGATTAACATCGGAGTCTAACATTTATGGAGTTCTTACTTTGCTAGGTGCTGAGCATTGTTGTCTCATTTAATTCAATGTTCAGAATTAACTTATGCTGTGGGAACCACTGCCATGCACATTTTACACATGAAGATACAAGTTTAGAGTCCACATAAGTATTCCAAGATAACACATAAATATTCTAATTGGTGGAACCATGAAGTCTACCTCGAGTTTAATAACCTGAATAACAATAATAATAATTACTAATATCCTTGTCATACTTAGTCTGTGCCTGGGGTTATTCTAAGTGCTTTACATCTATCAACTCACTTAAACCTAATAACAAGTCTGAGATAGGTCTTAATATTTTTCCTTCCCATTTTATAGACCCATGTTTTTCACAAATGTCTTTGTCAGCATTAAAGTTACTTTTGCATTCCAGTGCTACTGTGTCATCTATGACGGGAAAAACAGAGCTACTACCCAGACGTCACTGAATCATTTTTTAAGAGGGTAGATAGAATTGAATACATGAAGGAGCCAGAATCTGTGCCATCAACATCAGTTGTGAGTGAAACTGCAGCTTGCCCTCTGTCTCCTATTG